AGGATCGCAGGTATGCAGACCTCACTGAAGACCAGCTGCCCTCCTGCGAGAGTCTGAAGGACACCATTGCCAGAGCCCTGCCCTTCTGGAACGAAGAAATTGTTCCTCAGATCAAGGAAGGGAAGCGGGTCCTGATTGCAGCCCATGGCAACAGCCTCCGGGGCATTGTCAAACATCTGGAGGGTACGTACCATAGGGCTGCCTCCTCTCTGGGACTCGTATGGGATGAAGATCTTGGGGAAGGGGCTGGCCCGTATTGATAACCTTCCAGAGACCAACTAGAGTGACTCCTACTAGGAAATCCGCTTCCCTGGCCTCTCACATCTGATCTACAGAGCAGGGGCAGTGGCGGCCCCGGGAGTTCGCTCGGCAGATGTGCAGAACTCGGGTTCCACCCAGGCCAGCTCCCCACGTTGCCTGTTGCAGCAAAACCAGAGATCAAGCTCCGTGTGGCCCAGTCAGTTCTGACTCAGTTACTCTGGAGGGCAGAGTAGAGGGTTTCTTGGCTTTTCCGAGGCGGTGTATCTTTTTTTTCTCTCCAATCATTTTATTGGGGCTCATACAACTCTTTATCACAATCCACATGTACATCAATTGTGTAAAGCACACTTAAACATTCGTTGCCCTCATCATTCTCAAGCGGTGTATCTTTACGGGAGCAGAAAGCCTCCTCTCTTTGTCGCCCGGAGCAGCTGGTAGGTGGGCACTCTAACATAGTCCACTGTGCCACCAGGCTCCTTTGCCAATTAAAGTGCTGCAGCTCCCTGCAGGAGTATTTGTAGGTTGGGTGGGACCATGGAGGACTTGGTCACCACTGGACCACTCCTTTCTGTGCTTTGTCGGTGGCCCCTTACAAACTTGGACACTTTGTGTGCTTTTTGCTTCCTCTTCCGAGAAGTCAGCTGCTCAGTCAAGGTGACAGAATAGTGTTACCGAGACCAGAAGCTAGGTGGAAAAGAGCGCTGCTTCCATTCCCATGAAAGCCCGTGGTCCCTGGGGACCATCAGTAAACCTGGAGGGCTGCCACTGACGCAGCTTCTGGTCTTGCTGAGCTGACCCTGGTGGGTGTTTTCAGGGCTCTCTGAAGAGGCAATCATGGAGCTGAACCTGCCCACCGGCATCCCCATCGTCTATGAGTTGGACAAGAACTTGAAGCCCATCAAGGCCATGCAGTTCCTGGGGGACGAGGAGACCGTGCGTAAAGCCATGGAAGCTGTGGCCGCCCAGGGCAAGGCCAAGAAGTGAAGGCACGCCGGCCGACTGCTGTGCCAGGGACACCTGCCCTCCCTGCTCACCCTCTCCTCTGCACCGCTCCCCTGCACACGTCACACTGACCACACCTTACGTTGCCGCAGATGGGGGACCACTGGCTCCCATTTCAGCCATCTTGTCCCCTACACCCTCTCCCTTCGTACAGGCCTAGTCTGAATGGCACCTCTGGGCATGCATTCTCCTCAGCCAGGCCCAGGGAAGCCTTGCCTCTCTTCCCAGAGGGCAGGGACTCTGATTATGCCAGTGGATTGTTTACTCGGGACAGACTCGAGCTAGGGGGTGGGAGGAGCCACACTGAGGGTGACCGACCAGGAGGGCGAGCTGGGCGATTCCAGGCCCGGACTGTTGTGCATTGGCACTCTATTCATTCCATGTGATCTTACATCCCCTTCCTCCCTGACCCCGAAGGTTGGGATCAACTCCGAATGTTTACGTGTTGTATTTTACAAAAGGAAAAAAAATCATGTTTATGTATGACAAAACGAAAACCCTTCTTGGGTTTCTGGTGGCAGTTGATATACTAGGACCCCATGTGACCCTCAGAAACGAAGCCATTCCTCTCACCCTGTGGGGTAGGCTCCCTGGCTGCTGCGGGGAGGAGTCCATCTGCTGTGTGCTATAGAACCCTTCCCCGCCCTCTCTGTTGTGCGGCAGTGAAATGCCTGTTGATCGTGTCCACATGTCTCTTCACTGAGACTGAGGCTGGTCCAGTCAGTCGCTCAGCCCTGCTACTTGGGCCCAGTCCTCAGTTTGAAGACACCTGTACTAAATCCTTTTTCCAGATCAGTATAATAAAGGAGTGATGTGCAATATCTTGTGGTGTGATGTGTGATCCCTGATGGGTAGGAACCCTCCAATCCAACTTGAAACATCTCTTTACTCAACTCAGTCACTGTGTGACAGGTTGGAGCTTTCTGTTACCAGGCCTAAGCAGAACTCTGCCCCACCTGTCCCAGGATTTGGACTTCCTGCTGGGTTTTCACCTCTGGTGGGAAAGCTGGCTTGGGGGTGGGCTGGGCAGAGGATCTCCAGTCATGGTAACTGGCCATCACCTGGTCCCCTCCACGGGAAAATCAAGTCCTTTGTGACCTCTCAAAGACTTTTGGAGCTACTTCTGTTTTTCTTTTAAGCCAGTCTTTTTCTTTCTTCCAAGTAACTTTTCCCCCTCCTACATGTTGTTGAGAATATAGAATATACACAATAGAACGCCTCGAGTCCTTTGTACGGGACAATTCACATTCTCTGGGCTGGACAACCACGCTTGCCCTCCTTTTCCCAGTGGTTACTCCCCCGTGAACCTTCACACGCTGCCCCCAAGGTTTTAAGTTAGGTTGTCAATTTGATCCCTCGTAGCTAGTTCTTTGACGAGCCTAAGGTTCCAGTTGGACCTTTTCTGACTAGGTAGGAGGAGCCACTGTTGGTTGGTCTGGATCCACAATGTGTTGATGGGGTGGTGTCCCACTCATCTGTTACTGTTGCTTTGGTCTGAACGCATTCTTCCGTAGTCTTGCTTTACACCCCCCCCACCCCCCGTAGGCTGACAGGACAGTGACACACAAAACTGCATGGCTAAGGACCGGGATGATGATAGAGCACCTGGCCGCTTCACCTTGAAGTAGGAAACGGGGCTCTGCACAGGTGCTTCTGGTGTTTCCTGTTCTCTGCAAAGGATGGAGACCCTTTGCAAGAGGCATGATGGTGTTTGATTTGAAGATGACTTCTGGGGGGTATTTTGGGTTTAAGGACTATTTCAGTGCAGTAGTTTCAGGGGTTCATCCATTCTCCATGGCTGCTGAAAGTCTAGAGTCCACATGAACTTGAAATTCTGTACCCCTCTCCTTTTGAGCAGGCCTCTTTTCTGGAATCTAATCAAAGCAGTTCTGGTTGCCGGACACCATCCAATTCTGGCCACATGGCAAAGGAGGCAGTGGTTCCTAGAGGCTCTCTACACACATTCTCCAATCCTGACTCCTTCCTTTGCTGCTGCAGGTGCTTAGTGATTAATTGTGCTTTGCCCATATTAGACATGGTACTAGGCTGATTAACTGAGATGGCTCATGAAATTATGCCCTAAACTAAGAAGTCAAATTCATGAGGGGTTTGGTTGTATATAAGGAGCCTCTTGGGCCTCCACTCGAGTACTCCCTCAACACAAGAATACTTTCTTCTAGTAAATTGGCATTCTATGATGCTCACCTTCCCAACACAACCGCTGAAGACAA